TAATACTTTGCAAAAAACAAACGGGCTAGCCGCAAACGTCCGTGCCGTATAGCGTGAGCAACCCTGTAGACTCAAATGCACTTAACGTACCAGTTTTATTATTATCGCGACAGCTTTGCGGTTTTCTTTGATCTGCAGCCACGGTGAAGTTCAGCAAATGTTCCAACGACCAATTTGGGTCGGTTGTGTAGGAAACCACATAGTTTTCCAACGGGCCATTCTGAATTGCCGGTGGCTGCCAATAAACGCAAACTGTGGTCGAATTTAGGAAGCTAAATCCCAGTTCAACCACGGGAGAAGGCACTGAAACGACACCTTCACTCTTCACTCGAACGATTCTCGCAAGAAAAGTCGCCACTCACCATCAGCGGGCGTTCGCACTCTTAAAGGCTGCGATAAGCCACCAGGTACACTATTCGAGTCATGTGCTCGCACTTTAAATATATATTCGGTATTGGGCTGCAGCTTTGATACTTCAACCTTTGGAGAGTAGCTAGAAGGACAGTTCGTTCATTAGACGTTATATAAATTCCTCTCTCTTCTTACCTCTTGGCGAAATTGCCCTGTTCGCATTCTCTTTCATCTTTGGTAGGCACATAGCAAACCGTATAAAATTTGGCATTCGAGACTCTGTCCCACGATAATCGGGTGCTGGTCGAAGTCGTGAAATCTTCATGCAGGTATTTTGGGGCGCGCAATTCACTTGTGGCATCCATCGAGTCATTGCCCAGAAACTCGGGCAGGCTGTACATCAGCCAAAGCTCATCTTGTGGATTGTACTGGGTTATGACGCGAAACTGGTAATCAGTGGCTGGCAACAATCCTAAGAAATCAAGAGCTATTCTTCCGGGCGTTCGCGTGATTGCGAAACAATAGAAATCAACGGTAAAAACGGCGTAAAAACCCGAAAAATTTAACAATTTCTAATGATTTTTTGGTTTCAACTCTTAAAAAAACGTCAACTTTTCATTTATTTAGCTTTATCCCGGAATCAGTATCGCGCCCGAAGGTCTCGGCGCAACAAATCCGTTCAAAACTGGCAAGTTTTCGGGCTTTTTTGCCGCAGTAGTTCACATCTTCAGGGGTAGTTGATGCGCCGAGCAAACCACCTCTGAAGCAGGGGCGGATCCAGCTTTAAATTCAGGGGGGGGGTTATGTAGAAAAAATACAGTCTTCTGGTGTCTATGAAATTAGAAACATCATCGTCGTTTAGTGCAAGGGTGGCGCAAGATTATTGCAAAATTTCATGTTTTCCGTTCCGTTTTGCATGTTTCTCGGAAGCAAAATGAGCAAGAACGCTCGTTTTT